CTGGCTACACTAACATAGATATAGCAGTGCCTACAATATAAATCAACCAAAAGGAAGGAAGGAAGGAAGGGAGGAAGGAAGGAAGGAAGGGGGAAGGAAGGAAGAAGAAAGGAAGGAAGGAGAAAGGAAGAAGAAAGGAAGGAAGGAGAAAGGAAGGAAGGGAGGAAGGAAGGAGGAAGGAAGGAAGGAAGGAAGAATGGAAGGAAGGGGGAAGGAAGGAAGGAAGGAAGGAAGGAGGGAAGGATGGAAGAAAGGAAGGAGGGAGGGAAGGACAGAAGGAAGGGGGAAGGAAGGAAGGAAGAAGAAAGGAAGGAAGGAAGAAGAAAGGAAGGAAGGAAGGAAGGAGAAAGGAAGGAAGGAAGGAAGGAAGGAAGGAAGGAAGGAAGGAAGGAAAGAAGCATGGAATGAATGAAGGGAGGAAGGAAGGAAGGAAGGGAGGAAGGTAGAGGAGCAGAGCAGAAGAATTCAAGAATTTTTGGGATGGCAGAAGAGGAGTGGGGCTCCTGGGACCCCCGATTCGGCCCAGTGTTACTTAATATTTGGACTTTTTCCGCCTGGATTGGATAAGAAACACATCTCGCAATTCTTTACAGACCATCTTGATTATTTACATGTACAGATAGTCCTCAACTTACAACCACAACGGAGCCCAACATTTCTGTGGCTACGCGAGACAGCCGTTCAGTGAATTCTGTCCCATTTTACGACCTTGCTTGCCACGGATGTTAACTAAGTCACTGAAGTTGTTAAGTTAGTAACGTGGTTTGATAAATGAACCTGGCTTCCCCCTTGACTTTGCTCGTCCGACGGACGCAAAAGGGGATCAAGTGACACCCCACCCCCCAGGATACTGAAAACCGTCTTAAATATGAACCAGTTGCCAAGCGGCTGAATTTTATGAGTGCTGCAACGGTCAGTAAGCGTGAAAAACAGTCCCATGTCACTTTTCTCAGTGCTGCCGTAACTCTGAACGGTCACTAAATGAACCGTCGTTAAGTCGAGGACCACCTGCATTCAGGCACTAAGACATGAGATGCTCAGAATTTGGAGAGATTTACAAACCTAGTAAGTAAAGGAAAAAAAAAAAGGCTGAAATATGCATAAAAGCGGCTATCCTTAATTGCGTCCGCGAAAGTATTTTAGTTGCTGCGGAACGCATTTGTACTTTTGACAGTTCCGAGGCGCGATTTACGGGAACGGAAAGGCGGAAAGCTTACGGATCGGACCACTTCGCTGATCAGGGTGACCGGCGTCCTCTTGCTCGGGCTGGATGGGAGAATCCACTGGCTGTACAATTCCAGCAGGAACTGAGAACACGAATGGATGTCCACCCCGGCGCGGTGCTTCCTACAAGCCAAGAGAAGTTAATAGGTAGTCCCCAGAAACCCACTCTAAATATTAGATTTGCGACAGCGGAGAATTATCTGTAGCTCGGGCGGAGGAGGAGGAGGATGAGGGTGGGAGGTTCGTTCTCCGAGCTTCTGGGCTGGTTTCCGAACGTCTCGTTACCAGGCTGGGTAACGTCTTCAGCGGAGTTGAGGAGACGTCGGGTGTCCTCCTGCTCGTAGGGGCTTCCTCTGGTCAGCAGGTCTGGTGTGGGTGTGTCAAGTGAGGATCTTGTGATGGGTCAGGTGTGGGTTGCGTCAGATCAGGTTCTTGGGGAGGTCTTGTCAGGTGAGGGTCATGTCAGGTGAGGGTCTTGTGATGGGTCAGGCGAGGGTCACATCAGGTGAGGGTCTTGTGATGGGTCAGGTGTGGGTCATGCCAGGTGAGGGTCTTGTGATGGGACAGGCGAGGGTCACATCAGGTGAG